ATTCTACAAGAAAATTTCGAGACCAAGTTGCATCCGTTGTCAAATCTCCACAACAGGTCTCGAGGGGGAATTTGTTGACACCGAAATTTTGTTAATTATTAGATGTCAGATATATGTAAATAAGGAGATAATATAAAAAATATAAGATATTATCTTCACGATCTCGTAGAATATTTGATAGATATCTTGTTTACTACTCTATGACACTCTATATAAAGAGGGTTGTTTCTAGGGTTTAATTAGGCTCAGATGGAACAAGTCACAAAGACTCCATCTCCTCCCTACTGCCAAACAGTGTAGGTTCGTTGTATGGAATAAGCCTACAAGGCCCCGTACTACAAACAAATATCAAACCCTAGCTCTTTGGAGAGAACAATCAAGAGGTCTACGAGAGTTGTAACCCACAAATTATCAATGAAGTAATTATTCCCGTATATTTTTCTACCTCTTTAATTATATATTGCAGGTTTGAAATTTTGTGGTTAACAGTGCCATCAATATTCCATATAATTTTGAGAGTGAGGGATAGCTCAAGTGGTTAGAGCTCCTTTCCCGTTTTCAAGTGTTTTTGGGATCAATTCTCATCACTCGCTGTTATGGTTCTCCAAATATATATATATAAAAAATAATAATAAAAAAAAACTTTATATTCATGGTAAATAATTTCTTTTAGGAAAAATTGCCCAGAATAATCTCACTTTTGGATTATTTTTAAATAATCAGACCTTTATACTCAATCAGCTCAAAATGATCCTAAGTGACCTGTGACCGTTTGAGTAGGTAAATTTTTTTAAACTGGGATTAATTTACACATGACACCACACGATGGTCAAAATATAAGTCTTAATTTTAAATTTGTTTTAAGTAATGATTATTAATAACTAAAAGTAATTAGCTATTTATTTTAACTTTTCCTAAAAAAAAAATAATAAAACTAGATCTCAGCCCCACCGTGACCCCAGCCACCTCCTCACCACTACCATCGGCTCAGAGCTCCCAACCCCACCAAGACTAGACCCAGCTTACACGCGCCGTTCTCCAACCATCTTCAACCCTCTTTCATCGCCACTAAATCACCACAATCATTACCAAAATCAAAGTGTGGAAAGGAGAGAGAGGCTGAAATCGAGGCGTGGGAAGGGGATGGAGACCAAAATCGGGGGCGTGGGGAAGAAGAGGTGGCCGAAAAAGGGACGGGGTCGGGGAGGGATAGAAAATGGATTTTCGAGGGTAGGGGCTGGCTTTATGCTCACCGGTGCTTTCAGGGGAAGGGGGGTCGTGGTTCAGGGGCAGGGCTAGTAGTTAAGGGGAGGGGGTTTGTGGTTCAGGGAAAAGGGTTGGTGGTTCAGGGAAGGGGGTCGTTTTTGGCGCCGGCGATGGGGGATGGCTGGCCAGAGGTGCGTGGGAAAGGACTTGGGGTGAACAATGGTGGTTGGCTGATGGGTTTTTTTAGGGATTAAAAATATTTATTTTTTTTTCTTTAAAAAAAATTTAACTTTTTAAAAAATTTATTTTATTTTTTTAGGAAATTTTACAAAAAAAAAAAAACCACCTTTTAAATCTTGTTTTTTTGCAAATAACCCACCATTTTAAAAAAATGTTGCAAAAGACCACCAATTTTAAAAATTTTGTTACAAATTACCACTTTTTTAGCCAAATTTATCAATTGTTTTTCATTGAATTGATGGTAAGTTGCAACAAAAATTTTAAAATTGGTGGTTTTTTGCAACATTTTTTTAAAAAGTTGGTTAAATGCAAAAAACAAGATTAAAAAGGTGGTTTTTTTGCAAAATTTCCTTTTATTTAATTTTTTTAGCCCAATAAAAGACCGCCACGTGTCCGGTAACCTGTTATAGCAACTTACATGACTGGTTGGGACCATTTTGAACGGATTGGGTATAAAAGTCGGTTTATTTAAAAATAACTCAAAGGTGGGATTATTTTTAGCGGACGGCCCAAAGGTGAGATTATTCCGGGCAATTTTTCCTTTCTTTTATTTTGATCGAGCTTTTATTAATAATATTGCCAAAAACCTAATTAATTCGGAGTATTAATAACTAAAGATATTATGTGTCAAAAAGATAGCCCTTATCTCATCATTTTATCTAAATTACAATAAAGGATTATTTGATATTATAAATTAAGGAATAATATTATAGATTTACATAGATAGTACTCCCTCCGTTTCATAATGTTAGTCTCATATACTATTTTGGGCATTTTAAAAAAATCTACCCATATTGAATATATTTCATTTATAACTTGATTTTTTTTTAATTAATTAATTGTATATTGATGACATGACTCTAAGTAAGGAATTTTTTACCTTAAATTATACAATTATGACTTATATTTTCCTAATGAAAAATCAAAAAAGTTAAATATTGAATATATTTCATTTATAACTTGATTTTTTTTAATTAATTGTGTATTGATGACATGACTCTAAGTAAGGAATTTTTTACCTTAAATTATACAATTATGACTTATGTTTTCCTAATGAAAAATCAAAAAAGTTAAATAAGTTAAACTAATTATGAAATCTGTTGTACTTTAATGTTAGATTCCAAATATATTTGTTTTCTTATTTTATGTGATTGATTCCATATGAGATTAGCATTATGAATCGGAGGGAGTAATAATTACTAATCACTCCAACAATTAATAATTACTCTTAGAATTAGTATTATTAATAATTACTCCTATAATTAATAGTATTAATAATTAGTAATTACTCCTATAATTAATATGGAGTAGTATTATTAATCAATAATTACTCCAATGATTCTAATTAGTTATTGCTCCAATGATTAATATTTAATATTTACAATAATAATTGATTTAGGGTAATTAATAATTACTTTGTATTAATAATTAATAATTACTTCATTAATTAATGAAAGAATAATACTCCCTCCGTCCTAAAAAGAACGACCCATTTGGCCAAAACTTTGTCCCAAAAAGAATGACCCATTTGCATTAAAACACCACCACATTGCAACAATATTTGTGCAAAATTAGCTTCTCCATATAAAAATTTCATTTTTCATGTTATTTTATTACTTTCTCTCTCTATTTTTTTTTACAAACCCCATGTAAATTTATCTTTCCAATATACTTTTACTTCTTTTTACTTAACTTCCTTAATACCCGCGTAATCAACCCAAATGGGTCGTTCTTTTTGGGACGGAAGGAGTAAGTACAGAGTAATAATTGTCCTAAAAAAAGTATGGAGTAATAATTTTCTAATCAATAAATACTTCAAAAACCATAGTTAGTAGCCTTAAAAATCAATTTACTAGTTACAACTTACAAGATTACACCTAATAAACAACAACTAATTTTTCCAAACATCCATATTTATAAACATTCAATATTACTTAAATAGGATCTTGCTAAATAGCGCCCCGGAACGTTAGATAAGGATAAATTATATTGATTGAAATGGTATTAAGCTAGGAATTCATGACAAAATCACGCGTTGTTTGGTGTAATTAATGTTAATTTTACTCTAATATTTGCACTTTAATTCTCTTATTTAACGCCCCGGGGGAGCTCATTTGCTTTTGCCTTCCAACATTTATATAGTCAAATACGATACACTATGAAGTTCGTTAACTAAAAAATGCCGGACAGATATTACTTATTCTTATTCTTTTGTTCGGACTTATCTCTTAACCACTTCAGGTCCCGTTCACTTCACTTATTTTTGTTGAACTAAAATTATAATTAATGAACTGGAATTAAATTTGCTGAACTTAAATATTAATTTTATTAAATTTAAATTAATGTTATTGAATTAAAATTACGTTTGTTGAATTGAAATAATTTTTACTAATTTTCATTTATATTTATTCTATAAAGTTACCGGTTTTTACTGAGCTGAACTTATTTTTACTGAACTTATTTTTGTTAAACTGAACTTATTTTTTCAGAACTGAAATATTTTTTAGAATTAAAATCATTTTTACTAAATACGGAGTATTATTTTTATAAGGTGAAGTGGAGAGGGCCACAATATCGAGGATCAATATTTCATCTATAGTCCTAGGGCCACAATATCGAGGATCAATATTTCATCTATAGTCCTTATATTTTTTCTAAGGAAAATGATTAACATGAATGAGTCTAAAAATTGAATGTCTCATTTAATTGAATTTCTTAATGAGTCTTGATGCCACATTTGGCCTTTGACTTCTACTTATTTTTAAACTGAAATTATTTTTGCTGAACTGAAATTATTTTTACTGATTTTCAGTTATATATTTCTTTTTTAAAGTTGCTAAATTTTATTGAACTGAACTTATTTTTACTAAATTGAACTTATTTTTGCTTAATTGAACTTATTTTTACTGAATATTATTTTTGTAAGGTGAAGTGAACAGGGCCAAAGAGATACCCATTCCTAAATTGATATAATTACTAATAAACATCCATTATATTATTTTTGAGCTTATATTTTACTTTAATATCGGTAAATTCCTAGTTAATACGGATTATTAATAACTAGAAATATAATGCGTGAAATAGATTGTCATTATCTCATTAAATTACTACCGAGTATAAATGATTGTTTGATTGAAATACAAATATATGTTGTCTTCATGTTGAATTTGATTTAGGGTTTGTAAACTGATTATGTTCGTAACAAAATTTACACTTAATTCTTAAGAAAATACTCCATCGATCGATCTCAAATTAGTTGTCTTACCATAGGACTTTCTAAATATCTTGATCAGAATCCTCACTACGCATAACAAAAAACAATTAACACATGAAACATTGCTAGATTAAAGAAAAAGTATGCGAAAAAATATACATGCTCATCGATCTCATCATACAAGCATATCTTAAAAGCTTAAAAGAGTAACGAATCAAATAACTTGAGAGAATACAATTGTAGAAAGAATAATAATCATTAATTACTTGGAGCTGTAACATTGGCATAAACAGCTCCGTAACAGTAAAGCCAGTAATTAGATAGGCTGAATAATAAAGTAGCCAGCCCTAATAAAGGATTATAAGGCGCCATAATTACACCACCTCTATGATTTTAAAATTTTCTTCCAACTTAACCAAAAATCTCGTCCTCCTTAAAAAACAGAGAGATGACTTAGATTTATTTTTAACATTATTTCACGGATCATCCGACCCTTTTATTTTTAATCTAACAACATTTCCCGTGTTTCATTCCAATTAAACCCCCTTTCCAAATTTATCATAAACCTCTGCTCATTTTATAAATAACATCGAAATAATTCACAGGATTGAAACATTCTCTTAACAAATAACAATGGTGGGTTTTATTATCAAGAAAACCATTTTCTTGATTTTCTCTCTCCTCCTTTTTACGCTTTCTTTCTCCTCCCCTCTTCTTCCGACGCTTCCTGATGTCTATTTTTCTGACGAGGATTCTTTCTCTGGCGTCGGGATTCCTCTGGGTAAGTGGAGTTTACTTCAGAAAAGCGTCGGAATTTCTGCAATGCACATGCAACTTTTAAACAATGATCAGATTGTGATATTCGATCGTACTGATTTTGGGCCGTCTAATCTCTCTCTTCCCGCCGGAAAATGCGTCTCAGACGATTGCACAGCGCATTCGATACTCTACGACGTCGCTTTGAATACATTCCGCCCTCTCACGGTGGTTTCCGACACATGGTGCTCCTCCGGGTCGGTGGACCCCACTGGGAAATTAATCCAAACCGGGGGGTACGCGCAGGGTGAGCGTGTCATTCGCACGTTCACCCCGTGCTCACGACCCTCGGGTGTAGTCGTCCCGTGCGATTGGGAGGAGCTCGAAGTCTCTCTCTCCTCCCGAAGATGGTATGCGTCGAATGTTCTCTTACCCGACGGCCGCGTAATCATCGTAGGCGGCCGTGGGTCCCACAACTACGAGTTCTTCCCTAAACCACCGGGTCAACTTGGCGGGAGATTCCCCCTCCAATTCTTGTTTGACACGTGGGATGGTCGTAACAAGGAGAACAACCTCTACCCTTTCTTGCACCTCCTCCCTAATGGCAACCTCTTCATCTTCGCCAACAACAGGTCAATAGAATTCGATTACGTCACCGGACACGTCATCAGAAAGTTTCCGATTATGCCCTCGTTAGCGAGACGGAATTACCCTTCCACCGGCTCCTCCGTCCTCCTCCCGATCGCCGGAAACTCCTCGTCACCCGACATCGAAATCTTGATCTGCGGCGGCGCAAGGCCGGAGTCCTATGACTTGGCCAAGAACAAGAGTGTCTACGTGGCAGCAGCACAGTCCTGCGGGCGTATGGTAATCACTGACAGTAGCCCACACTGGATCATGGAGAAGCTCCCTATGCCACGTGTCATGCCGGATATGATAATGTTACCCACAGGTGACGTACTCATCATCAACGGCGCAGGGAATGGGACCGCCGGTTGGGAAAACGCGGATAACCCGGTTTTAAACCCGGTTTTGTACAGAACCTATGAACCCGACCCGACCCGGAGGTTCGTTGTTCTAAACCCGACAAAAATACCCCGCATGTATCACTCCTCTGCAGTGCTTGTATCTGATGGGAGGGTCATCATTGGCGGGTCAAACCCGCATGTAAATTACAATTTTACCCCTGGTGTAAGATTTCCGACGGAGTTGAGCCTAGAATCATTCTCACCACCGTACCTTGACCAGCAATACGCCGTGTTACGACCGTCAATCTTGGCCGTTGAAACGGAGAGCATGGTAGTAACGTACGGTCAGATGGTGTCAGTGACGTACGTGTTGGGGATGTACAAAAGAGAAGAGGCAGAGGGAAATGGAGGTGGTAGTAGTAGTAGTAGTGTTAAGGTGACGATGGTGCTACCGCCTTTTACGACACATTCCTTTGGGATGAACCAGAGGTTGTTGGTGTTAGGGGAGGAGAGAGTGGAACAGCTATCGACGTATGCGTATAAGGTTACGGCGAGGGTGGCCGAGAGTGTGAATGTAGCACCACCAGGGTATTACTTGTTGTTTGTGGTTCATTCTGGGGTTCCTAGTCGTGGTGTTTGGGTTCAACTTAAACGTCCTAGTTCTTGATGAATGGTGGTGGAGTAGCTTAATTAGTGATTGTTTTATACTTTTATTAGGGGATGGGCAATTCTTTGGTTTGTTAAATCAATGTCATTTGTAAAAGTGATTGATCTGGATAAATGAATATTGGTAAACTAGTTTAGCTATACATGTGTTTTGCTTTTAATTTTAATTGTCAATATATCAATCGGTCTACATCTAATTAATATAATGAGTCCCTATAAGTAAGGACTAAATCCTAGATTATATAATTGTCAAACTGAATACTCTCAACTTCTCAAGTAGTTAACTTAGGCTTACATTTACTTAGACATCCAAGTGCTCCTAAGTATACAAGATGATATAAAGTATAGTTCTCTATGAACCTTACAATGGTTAATGGTTGTTAGCACAAGAAGTTTTAAGTAAAAAAAAAAAAAAAAGAGAGTGAGTATTGAAAGGTTATCAGTAGTGTTATGGATTAATAAAAAAAATTAATTGTTTTTGACGGGTAATAAAATAATGATAGAAATTAATTGTAAGTAATATGCACTTGTCATTCGTCGTCATAAATAGAAGTTAGGGTATGGTATCCTAACTTCTAGTTTACCAAAGTCTTTGTTCTCCTCTTAAAGAATTGATAAATATATATAGTAGATTAACTTTACAATAAGGGTCTTTTGTTTTTATTGAACTGAAACATATAATAATGTAAATGGCCTGGGTAATTGTGAAAGGTCCAATACACACTTAAATCTATAAGATAAGAAATAGATGGAGAAAATCTTTTTCTTTTTTTTTTATAATTACAATTAGTATTTCACCGTATATAAAATTATGTTAGGACATACTTCCTCCGTTTTTAAATACTCGCTCCATTTTCTTTTTTCAGCAGTTTTTAAATACTTGCTTCATTTTCTTATTTGAAATTTTTTTACAATATTTAATTCATTTCTCTCACCTAGTGGACCCAACATAAATCATATTTTATTACTTTCATATTTTCTCCCCTCCAATTCTCTCAACTACTTTTTAAAAAAAAAAATTACTTTCTCTCATTTCTCCTAAAACTTCACGTATTGAAAAATGGGGCAAATATTTAAAAATGGAGGGAGTACATAAGAGCTAGTTTACCAATAAAGATACAGTAATCAATTTTAAATATACCCTAGCTAATGTTGGGATAAATTCTTTGCTTTATCCACAAGTCCCATATCCTATATTGTTTTATGATATTAAGGGGTTGCCTCAGTTGCTGATTATACTTTGACAAACCTCACTGACGTAACAATAACAAATAATTAAGTTAAATCATAATATTTGAAAAATTTAAGCAAGACGTTACATCAACCAAAGAAATGAGCATGTAGATGAAGACAAATGAAAGATGTTAATGTCTTCCATCATCAAAATAAATAAATAAATAAATGATAAAGTCAAGGCCAAAATTGTATTTTGCTAGTAAAAAATTACCTCTATGTTCATACAATTGTAAATAATTAAGCAGATTTCAAAACATTTTGACTAAAACTGCCTATTGCTTGGCTAATAAGCCAAGGGAAAACCAAAGAACTTTGATTAAAGAAATGAAATGCTTTTGTTAGGTGTTTTGTTGATGTCCTCCTCCTTGTGAGTTTCTGCTATTATAGGCAAATCTTAAGGGAACATTGCCCTGACCTTTGAGCCCCGACCTTTGAGCCTTTACCGTTCAACGGTTCCTTGTCCTTTGCCGGCAATTGCTTCCTTATTTGAACATGTTTGAATCAATAATATCATGTGCTTGACCATGCTTCTTTTAACAGTGTGGGATTCAACAATATTAGGGTGTCTCCTTTATGCCTATGGAGTCTACATTACTATTGGACCCATAAGTTGGTATCTCTAATCATACCATCGCCCGTAGGTTCCAAGTCAAACCGTTACTTATTAAGTCGATCAAGCCTTAATCCAATCTTCATTAAGATGGTCGAAGTCAACCAATTAAAAGTCAAAAGAAAATTTAATTTGGGTGTAATAATACCTAAATAAAAATAACTTTATTTCAATTTAATTTCATCATCAAGATAGTCTTTCATGGTAAATGAGATACAAAGTACGTGCATTAATGCATTAATATGTATGAGTTCGTACATTTAGTTACGGGAGTTTAAAAATTGGTTTAAACTAATAAAATGAATCTCTTAGCTTATTCTAATAATTTGATTTTTGAACAGTTAGATATAGATTTTCGCTACCCAATCCACTCGATCAGATTGAATCTACTTTATGCCTAAAATCCTTTAGAATGATTAATTTTCTGTTTGAACTTGTTGTAATGATTTTTAATGTCATTCTTTATTTTGTACAAGGTTTTCGAAAAAGGATTGAACTATTAGTTTTCATATCACTATATAAAGTATTTCGTATAAAATAATGTCTAAAATCATTTCAAACTACGCTAGTTAGGGTTAGGATTGTTTTTGTTGATTTGGTCAGATCTTAATCTTAGCCTAAATTCTACAATATTCGGGTCTTGAATTTCCAAGTTTTCGATCTTTTTGTCGATTTGGTCAGATCTCGATCTTAGCCTAACTACTCTAGCTAGTCTTCGAGTCTTGAATTTTCAACTTTCCAAGTCTTCAATTTGGTGCAATTTGGCCTAGTCTTGCATCAGTAAACAACCTTAGCTCTAATTAGATGTGTCAGGCTTTATAATTAATCCGTTCAATGATATGATTTAATTATTTAAATGAGCACTTAGCTTGCAAGATCCAAAGTTCCTTGAATGTCATTAAACTTTTCCCTAAAAAAAAAAGAATGCAATACCCTATATTTCTTAATACTAGGGGTCTATCGTGCGCGATATGACTAGCCCTCTGAGAAGAGTTATTGCAGCTGTCACTAATGCTCTGTGACTATATATATATATATATGTATATATATATATATATATATATATATATATATATATATATATATATATATATATATATATATATATATATATATATATATCAATATATGGTGTTTTGGGTGTTTTTGTCCCTCGGGAGAGTTACAACACGAAGACTGATCCGGCGTGAGTTGTACCTGCAAAACAAACGGAGACACCGGTTGGGTGGTGCTCCGCCTCCGACGAACAAGTTAGTAACTTGAAGGGAGAGAAAAAGGTGCGGAAATTTAGGTGGGTATCTGCTCGGATTCCAAGCTCAGATGTCTCTATCACAGGGACAGTTTGTAATAAATGGTAAAACGTGCCCTCCAAAAGAGGGGAATCTCCCTATTTATAGGGTCCTCGGGATTTGTGCCCCTGATTAGGTCACTGAACCCTATTGGTGGGCTGCGTCGCATTGCGGCTTTCTCGGGATTTAGGCCTGAAGGCCGCCTTTCCTCCCAGTTTTCTGGAGTGACACGTGTCAAGCAGGGATAGGTCCACCTTGGGCCATCCTGGGGCTGAAACGTGTCACCCTCTGATTGGACCATGTGGCGGGGTAAAATTACCCTAAACATTTGCCCCTCACAGATGTGACGTGGCACGCCACGTGGCATCTGTGACACGCGTCACGCTCCGGTTGGTGGTAATTTTACCACCAAAAAGTAATCGTTCATCTTCCGAGTAAATTACGGGAATGCCCCCGCATTTACCCTCCATATATAGCTGTTTACCCTCATCATTTTGTACGTTTACAAAAATTTTCAAGAGAGACAACTTTGAGAGAGCAGAAGTCATCCGTTTGAGTCAAGCGCAAGCGAGAAAACTCGTTCTTCGTCAACCCTGCCGGACCCGTCTATCTTCAGATATCAAATCTAAAGGTACTGTCTCTGCCTCTCTCAGCTCTTTTTCTTGTTTCACCGCTTGTACATATTTCTTGAAATAAATGGATGCATCACCAACACACACGGCACAGCCTAGGTTAGAATCCAGCCGGTCATCGGGGACGGCTGAGTCTAAGACTGGGAGTACCGTCTCAGGGTGTTGGGACCAACCTTTTGCTTGGATTTCGACCATTTATGTGTCTGTGCAGGACACAATGGCTCGGACTATGCAGACGGCTGTCGTTCTGGATTACCGAAGCGAGGGCTCAGGCGACCAAACGCCTGAGGGAGATGCGTCTGGTCAGAGAAACCAGACGGCTCTAGAGAGATCCCCTCCGCGTGCCCCTTCGACTCCCGCAAATTCCTTTTTGGAAGAATGCGACCAAGGCGACGATGAAGCCGTCTCAGATCCTTTGCCACAGAATGAGGAGGAGACGGAGAGCGACAGCTCCGCCTCCACTTCTGAGAGCTGTGACGACTTGCCACCGCTTGAGGATAGCGAGGAGGAGAGAGGAAGAAGTGGAGTGAGAAGAACGACCCCTTCAAAATTCACGTCTCTGCCAAGGACAGGAGACAAATGGAAGACAACTTGAAGAGGTTTACACAAATGCACCCGTTAGGAGACGGGTACAGAATCAGATTGCCGCCTGAGGACGGCACTATCGTCTGGGAAGATGATCAACAGAATGCCAATAGCTACTTCGGCTGTTATGAGGCGGCGTTCAAGGCCGGTCTTCGCTTTCCCCTTCACCAGGCGGTGAAGGCAATCTTGAGAGGCTATGGCCTCGGAGTCTGGCAACTTACCCCCAATTCTTGGGCAAACATTTTGGGGTATGTTGCCGCCTGCGAGCTCCAGGGGCTCCATCCCGGCTGGGAAGCTTTTACTAAGATGCATTATCTTAGCCGAAGCCCAGGCGGCTGGAGGGCGTGGTACACTTTAACCACGTATCCCCAATACATGATGACCTTAGACAAGGTCTCCAAATTTGACGGCTGAAAGCACAGGTTCTACCTGATGTCGGATCCCAGCAAGCGGGAGAACTATGAGTTCCGCTAGTACAATAAGAAGCCCGACCTGATGGGCCGGAAGTGCGCTCTTCCCCGGATCCCAGATGAGGACTTTGACAAAATAATTGAGGTAGACTTTTTCGGCCTCACAGACGCGACCTTGTTAACCGGGGAAACAATAAAAGTCCCCAAGAACTAGATCCCTAAGAGCGCCTGGTTCAGGGACGAGTGTTTCTTAGCCGCCTGCGGGCTAGGAAACATGTTTACCAAACGTATGCACCTGAGTTCACATCCGCATGTAGTACTTTTGTATCAGAATTGATTGATGATATATTGACCAATCTTTTTCTTTTTGCAGAAGAAGCT